GCGTGAGTGGATACGGCGTAGGTGGTCTTTCTCTGCTAGTTTATGTAGACCCCGATTTCATTCTACTCTAGTCAGACATTATTATGATTCTAACTCTCGATGCTTGTCGTTAAATCTAATCGCAATATGCTGGCAATGGTTTATGTGGCATTAAAGAATATTTCGGTCTCAAATCAAATCTGACCTCTAATAAGCAGATTACTGAAACTCTTGACAAATTGAACTCCCTATCAATCAGGAGATACAAGTTCGTCGATTTCCCACGTTCGTGGCAAGATAATGGTGACAATCAGACGAAAAATCAATCCTCCTTCCGATTGGTCAGATTATTTGAATAAAGAGTCTACAAGTAACACGAACCAGCTTTCTAAAATTCGCGTGCATTGTCTTCCAAATCCACTTTACCTTGATACCCTAACTTTGTAAAAATATGTTGAAATTACTTCAAAAATCTGTTGCTTAATGAAATTTAATCAAACGCATTTTATCCAATATCAAGCAAAGATCACATGGAATTAATTGGCTGCTAAACGATTTCAGTGTGAAGTCGAGGTTCTGCTACGGATATCAAAGTCGGCGTTTTCAACTTAAACCAAGCTGTGTTTAATCGTATTTTGAGACACTTGCAACACTTGAACCCGTGTTTTTTTCAATGGGGACTAAAATTAAGTCTAATGTTAGCGTTAGTAAACAAGAACACACTGAGGCCGATGCCAAAAGATGCAACACACCACAATCTTAAAATTGGACTTTAAATTGTTAGGAAAATCCAGGAAATCACAACCGTTTTGTTAGGTTTCCATGACAATAACCTAAAGGAATCACCAAAAATCCGCCGACGCAACACTTTTTTCACCCCGACTTTCCCAAAATGTTACTTGATCGTTTTACTTTAGTGGTTTTTCGGCGACTAATCGGACAGAAGAATTCACAACGACTCCGACTTGCACGGACACGAATTTCGAGCATCGCGTATTGACAAGCCAAGTGATGAAGTCATCGACGCCGCGTAATTTTGAATGCACCGAACAGTTGTGAGAACTTGTCCCAGTCGTGCCACAATTTGCTTCAAAGAATTTCATTCCCCGGTGCTGGAAAAGTCTGCTGATAAAACACAACACACGCGTCCGAAATCGAGCGGCTCTTTTAGGTAAAAGATTAAAATCGTAGAAATGGTGGGTTCCACGTCCGAGGTCTCGTCTGGACCTTCAGTGGGACCCTACACGAAATCAGCAAGTTTCAAATGAGAACAAGTCCTGTGTCGCCGCCAAATCATCTGAAGGAGTGCTGGACCAGGTCAACCCAAACACTCGAAACAGAACCGACAGCAGACGCGTTTGAGCAAGTTGATTGGTGTTTTTGACTCATCCTCAGCTTTCATTGGTCACTGCCACCATGGGCTCTACAAACACACTTAGGCACCCAACGACGTGCCACATTGTCGTACCGCCCTGTTATCATTTCGGATTGTTTGAGTGTTTTCGTAGAATCGAATTACTGTTTGACTATATATCTTGCAACCATGAATGGGATTCATCCCACATTTTATTTATATTAGAGACAAAACACGTATTTACTATGAGAGTGAAAGTGAAAAAGTTCGGTCGAATGAAAATTTGCACAAGGTTGGCGCATTGCCACGAATGTTGTTTTAATTCACTGCTGGTAGAAGCGCGCCACGTTTCAAACCGCACCACAAACACACATTTGTTGAAGACACATCGGAAACCTATGACTGTACTAAGGCAGGAAAAAAGCTAATAGCTGGATTTACTTCATTCGGTGCACTTTTGGGAGCGGGTTGCGAATTCATGATTGCTCGGTGCAAGCACCGGCAGAATTTTTGTGAGGAATCAAATTTATTTTTTTCGGAAACAGTAAATACGCTGCTAAAGAACTAATACATATCAATATTCGGATGGATATTGACCGGCTTGTCACAACAAACACGATGCTTTTACAAATTAATTCAACCACATATATTTGTGGCAACGATTTGTATTTGGTCACATTCATCACCTACCACTGACATCGCACTACTAATAAGTATTTAAGCGTTAAACCAAATCGATTTAGTTATAATGAGGAACAGGTATTGGGTGAACTATGAAGCCCGCAGCCACACTTAAATGACCACCTGGCCGTTTCGATATTGCTTGAATAAAGTGCATGCTAATTCTGCCTACATTCTTCGTTGAATGTTACAACAGTTGTTTAAATTAGTTTCTTTTATAGAAGTCAAATCAAAGCTAGGCTAATTCCCCTAAAAGCTTATTAGAAATTAGACGAGCAAATCTATCGATCGAAGTCGATGGAATGTGCTAACGTTTGGGCTTCTTGAACTGATTTCATCGAAAGTGAGCACCAAGGTAGCAAAATCTTTGACATGAGGGAAAATTTGCGAACACCGATACGGGTGGATTTCCAGTTTAATCAAAATTCAGAGTCCTTCAGTCACTTGATAGTCTACTTTTGGCTGTTCCATTAAAAGGTATAAGGACTGGAAGCAATGCGACATTACTGCACCTACTCACATAAATAGAGTAGTATATGGTTAATGCAAAATTACCGGAGGTGCGGATGGGGGTGGAGGAGGAGGAGGCGGCGGAGGAGGAGGTGGCGGAGGGATTTTCGTTGGAACAGCTGGAAATCCATTCTGTCTTTGTGGAGCAGGTTTCCGCAGAGTATCCTGCAAAAAACACTAGGTTAATTCAACCACGATGACTTGTAAACTGCCTTAACAATCCAATAGCTATCCAAATGACGTGGAGGCGACTATTCGATGTCTCACCTCAAACAGACTTGAGCCCGTTGTGCCATTGGCAGAGTCATTTCCATTAGGAGTGCTCGGTAGTTGACTGGGGAAGTAGGGGTAGCCATAGTTGCCGTTGGTCAGGTTGCCCTGGGGATACGACAGCTCTGCTGGTGGATTTGATCGTCTAACGGTCTAAAGAAGACAAAGCAATCTAAATAACCCTTATGTCGAAAGGCCATTGAAATTGGCCATTTTGATAATGAGAATACGCGCAACTTGAAACACCAAGGACCAATGGCGTTTGCCCAGTTAATGGTCAACAATTAAACGCGAAACCGTAAGTTAACTTGGTTTTTCGAATATTTCAACAAAATTGGACGCCAACCTTAAACTGACCAGTTAAATCGAAATCCACATAAGTGATGGCGATTAAGTGAAGAGGATTCGAATTCCGTGAGGGTAAAAAAAGTCCCAACTCAGGAAACCTAAACAATTTCAGACATAACAATTTGAAAATATTTGTTCAGTTCCTGTGACCTTGAGGCAACAAATTCAGCGTCATATGAATTGGCCAATGAAAAAACTCGCTTGTGAGAGAATGACTTAACTTCCTTGCGATCACGCGTAAGCTCCAGCAAAACCAGCTTTTACTTTCACAAACAATTAAAAAAATCACATAAATATCCCCGCGCATAATTTTAAATGCATGAAAATCAGTAAAACTGAAAGATTCAACAAATGTCTTGTCATTTTTGACCTCTGCTCCAAATGGTTGGGCGTTTTTCGTGAGGAAAACCGATGTCTTCCTGTTTTCCAATGCTCCATGTTTCTTTTTTCGTAACTCCTCCTGAAGCCATTTATCGTGACTAATGATTCCTGCGGAAGTCAACTAGGCACCGTTTTTAACTACAAAATTCGCATGTAAATGAGCTATGTGCAGTAATTTTGTGATTAAAACATTTTTTGCAATTAAAATGATCTAATTTGACTTTGATTATAAATGAAACACATGCCAAGAAGGGACTTTGGCAATTGTGTTACCAGGTTAGACGATGTTTTCGATGAAGTATTATCAGGAGGCTGAGAATTTAGGCTAAAATTCTAGCTTGAGATCATAAACAGAATGTGCGCGTTCAAATGAAGTAAATTTATCAAATTTGTCAAAGTTGTGACCGTTCATTTCCATCAGAAAAAGATGATTTCGGATCACGAGGAGAAGACAAACACCTTCAAGATGTTTTCCTAATCAGCAAATCAGAGCAAAATTTGTTTAAATGTGAATATTATGTTCCATAGTGATTACAATTGATAATTCAATGAAAAGGAGATGTTGGTGGAACAGTTGAATATGTAATTTGGTACTGAGGCTTAAAATCGCTGCACAGAAAGCCTATGTTGAAACAAAACTGGCCAATTAAAGTTAAGCACAGAAAAATCCGTTTACAAGGTCATGAGAGCGGTTTTCGAACAGGGAATCATTTTAGGAGGAAGGAAATTCATCCCAGAAAATTACAAAGATTCCTGTCAAAAAAGGCCGAGCAAATTAGCACAAGGAATAATTTTTTAACACGGAAACTAATTAATCAATTAGACGTAGGTAACTTTTTGAGAGATTCTCCCTTGTTGGTAGGCAATTCTCTGCCATCCACTCATTTTTGCACTCCGAAAACAGAAATAACGCAACGGAAAACTTGCCAGAATTCCACATGAAGCAAACACGACATTTCGATCAGATAAAAAAAAGGGAACTGGCATTCTTCTTCCCAAGTGCTTGGCGTTTTGATTGACGTTTTAATTGTTCCAGAAATTGTTCATCTACATGGGAAGTGTAGGTTTGCTCAGTGTCCTGTTGCATAATACGTGGCCAGGTTCTGATCAAAATTGTTTTAATGAAGTGTCTGGCGTTGACACGAGGCCAAACATTGGTCAGCGTCAATGGCAATGAGCGTTGCACATTTCAACGGCGTTTGTTTTCGACAATTCATTTACCCGCAAAACCTTTTTTATTGTGTGTTTGTCCAATGGCTGCTTGAATTCGTTGCCCAGAATTAGCCCATTTATACGTAGCATCGAGGTTATCTGTTAAACGTTGCTCGAATTGTCTAGTTCTTCATACATTCAGATATAAATATTTTTACTAAACTTCCTTAATTACATGACCTACATGTAATTATGACCTGCATGACAAATTACTTAAAATTTTCATCGCTCGAATAGAGTTATTAAGAGATGAAAACACAAGAATAGTTAATACTTTGAGGGTTCAAATAGTTATTAGTAGTATGGTGTTCGTGAGTGCATTCAAATCTAGCAGGCTCCCGTGAAAATCGGTTCCGTCTGGTGATGCGAAAATAAATGACAAGAAAGTGGTTTTTATAACAACGCTGATTGCATTAGTCATCAAAAATGTATGATGTCCGCAAAAATTACGGGTGTCTCCGAAAGTAGGCAGCATACGAAAATGTCTGATTCCACATGCATGGCGGAGTTCACCGACGACACAATAGCTTATTGAGAAATTACTGCCCTACCTACTATAACTAAGTCAAAATCTACAAATTGAACCCATCAGAGGTAGGTGGCTGAACAAAAAGATGCCGATGGTCGGCACTAGGTTCACTCCTAATCAATAAACAATCACTTTTCCCCAAAAACAACGCCAATAGAAAATGATTTCATTTGAAAAGGACGAGTTAGTTCGACAGAGAGTGGGCTGCTTGTATTTGCGTTTAAAAAATGCAGTATTAAAGCCATCTGGTAAATGCTTGGTCCACAACAACACAGGAAAAAAACACCTACAAAGCTCCATTGATAAAAACGGTTTTGGATATTACAGTCAACGACAGCAATTCTACAGGGATTTCCTTGTCAGACTTACAACAATGCAGTTCAAGCCCTAGTGAAAATAATTTTATACACATTCTTGTCGATTTATTTCCTAAATCCAAACAAAATGTCTGACTAGAGTAGAATGAAATCGGGGTCTACATAAACTAGCAGAGAAAGACCACCTACGCCGTATCCACTCACGCATTGAGCAGAGCTGCGTTGTCCGAGAACCGACCCAAAGTGATTGCCATTGGTGGAGACGGGACCGTTTGCAATCGATGAGGGGTACATTGGCTCGTCCACGGGTGAACCAAATCCAGTCGACGGACGACGACCGAGGGTTGAGTAATTCGTCTCCGAGACTGGAAGGTATGGAAACGAGGGAATTAACACGGGAACATTTCAATGCACAAACAGAACGTAGTTTGTACACGCCAATGAGATTTGTTAAATGAGCACCACCGAAAACTGCCGTTTCCACAGAAGGCGGCGATATGGTTTTTGGGAAGCCGTTCAAGACATTTAGACAAAGAACTTGGTGCTGCAAGGGGCCTTCGCCAGCACTACTCGGTTCAGACAAGTAGACACCTGCTGACGGGTTGCGCATAGCACCACAGGGGTGGTGGTTTGGAGGTGTGGAGTTGGTGGTGACACGCCAAACTCCCAAATGTTTTCACACAGAAGGTGTTTGGTCTCTCGTTGACGACTGTGTTGGCACACCCTGATATCCTTGCAGTGGCAAATTGTAAATTGGGGTTAATGCAATCAAGGGTGCATTGCGTTGGCAGCAACACCCCATAGCATCCCACAACACACACGAGTTGGTTGTAATCATATCAGAGAGGAGACGACATCACGGTCGTGAGAATAATGCGGTCACAGCAATCACCTGTGCTTGCTAGCCCCACCCCGCGGCCTTCGTTCGTGAACCACAGTTGCGGCAAGAGATGTGTGGAGTGGAGGACAATCCTTTGTGTTTGCTTCGTGGTTGATGGGCAATGAATCAGAGGTGGAGCTGTGATTTGCTTGCATTCCAACCGCCTAATCGAAGTACCGTCTTATAATTGAGCCTCTTGGGCAAACCAGGCATCCACTAGCATTCTGAGGCCTTAATGCCACCGATTTCGGGCGATTGTGGGATGATAGGCTTAATTAAATGTGACAGCACTCCAACATGGACGTTAGTTTATCCTGGTCTCTGAATGCACCCGAGCTAGCCTTAGGCGTAATCGAGGACAGCAAAGTGTCCCATTTGGAAACTCCCAAGTAGCAAAATCGATGTTTAATAAAATCTTCAATGCATTCTGCATGACGTATACGTACAGGTTCCGTTTTTGAGAACTCACGCGATACTAGATGACGAGAAATGTTGTGTTGTTGATGCCAGAAATCGAATGTATCCGCATCTCCAGCTGCACCACCTGCAAATCCAGTTATCGGATCGAGTGCTTTTTCGGCTCCAATAAAGAGCTGTCTCATAAGCACGGCACCTACTAGCTCGAAATGACAGATTCTTACTCCACGGGCATGCAGAAGTTTGAAACCAGCAGTGCAGTGTTTGAATTGGCTTTCAGCGACGCCTCCTAGTTCGTGACTGATGAATTAGCCCAGCAGGTGACCTTCTCCAGGTTTCACTATATTTCACGTGGTTTAAAAACGAGTATTTGTTCAAGTGGTGCATTTTGTCCAACAAAAACGTTTTGAACAGCAAAAGCCTGTGTAAACAACCGTTGGTGTTTTGTTGTCAGTGGTGATAGGATGTGTGGTGCCTGTAAATAAATCTGGCTCTTTTGTGATGCTGTCAACACAGAAACTGGTGAAACAATGCAAATGTTGGGCTCGAAATGGATAAACAATTGTAAGGCGCGGAAGCGAAGAGGCAGGACAAGGAAAACACGAGACCCGAAGGATTATCAAGCAAGGAAATTGGCAAGACGCAATAAGCGCAAGCTAATTCCTGAGATCTTAAACGGAAATCAGATAACCAAAACAGAGGCTTGGTTTTAACCCTCCACGTCATCCTCGCAACCCTCTTAGGCCGGGCTCGAACCTTGGTCCATTAAGGGGACAGACGTTGCGTTGGAACTGCACTGCAGCAGCCTTCGTCACAGCCTGGCGTCGGACCTATTACGCTTCCAATGTCACCTCTTAAGCATTTCCTACTGGGAGGCGCACAACAGCCTGTGCGGTCCTTGTGATTCAACAGAGTGGAATCGGCCAGCGTAAATGTATCAATCCATTACCCACTGTTGATGCGTCAGTTCTGGGGGTATTAACACACGTGACCAACTACAGCGCCGAAGACAATCTGAGTTAGTAAACGACATCGATTACTACTTGCTAGAGCGTAAGAACTACAGCCGGGATTGGCGGTAAGTACCGTAATTGATTGCCCCTTTCGAGTAGTGTGTGTTGTCTAAAGTTTGAATTAACTGATGAGCCAAGGATTAGATTGCGGTTGAAGGCGGCCTTTGATAGTTCGCCTTCTCCACAAGAAATTCTGAACGAACTCGCTGCGGATATTTAAACAATGATATTTGCAGAAGTTCATTTCTGTCGACTTTGACAATGCAAGAGCTGTAAATTGCAAGGTAACTTTACCAGTGTGGTGTTTCGACTAATGAGAGGAAAGTTCAAAGTCTATGTGTTGAAACACCGTGATAACCTTGGTGCTTAAATATTTAATTGGCTGGCATAATTTGACCTTGAGAGATTGAGCATAGTCATGGTTCAAAAAGTCACAATTTGCAGTCAGATTGGTAGGTGTAGTGTGCAAGGTACGACCACACCACGTTTACCTGGCCAATAGTCGTTGGGAATCCATTTAAAGTATTACAAGAGACTGATTGCATGGAGACAGGCGAAGAGTATAAACGATTTGCATTTAACAATGTAAAATGCATGAAGATGATTCAATCGAGTTTGAAAAATCGCGTATTAATGTGGAAAGACAAAGAATGTTACGGAACTGAAATTTATGTCTTCGTAAACACTAGAATACATCATGGCAGTGATGTTATTGTATGTATGACTCGTTTACATTCAGTCGCTGAATTCTCACCAGATATTAAATGTCTAGTTTTAAACGTAACAGAAAATTTCCAATTAATGAGCTTTAAAAATTCGTGATGAATTAGATACTACTCGGTTGATAGAATGTAATTCCTGGTGTTTGATCCGTTCCGTGGTTTTTTTTAATGCCTTCAACTATAATAATATTAAAATTTAATAGACCCTGTAATGCCGTTTGGCAATTCGACAAAATTTGCTGTGTTTTTGCAGAAATTCAACGGGTTCACTTCTTCGACTGCACCGCCTGCAAATCCAGTTACCGAATCAAGTGCTTTTTCAACTCTGAAAAAGAGTTGTCTCAGAAGCACGACACCTACTAGCCCGAACTCAATCAATCCTCCCAAATCGACTCAAGAATCGTGTGGCGTTGACGAGGGACGTTCTGCAGAGACATCTGGGACCCCCACCCCTCCCGCCATCTTTCGCGATGCCAACGGATCTCTTCATCCACTGCTCGCGTCGGTTCTGTCGAAATTGGAAACCGCTGACAACGGAACTGCGGCCGTCAGTCCAGATCCCCCCAAACCACAGCCGAGTGGTGCTCCTGTTCTTCCGAGCTTTGAGGAGAACCTGAAGGCGGCCATCGCCCGTCGTCGTAAGCAGATGAACCAGTCCCGGGAGTCCAGTGAGTCCGAAGAGGACTTCCACGCCTTCAGAGCCGTTGGAAGGATCTTGCCGGCCGCGACATCGCAGCAGGTGGCTAATACAACGGGCGCACCTGGGAGTAATGCACCGCAAGCAAGGTGGCCTGCGTTGGCAGGACGTCTGGAAAACGGTGGCACCGCTGCACCTGCAGCCATTCGGCATCAATTCCCCTATCAACAGAAATCTTCTGTAGCTCCAAAGCCGCCCCCTCCTCCTCCTCCACCACCCCCACAAGCAAATGGTATTTTCCGCAATGGCTACCAGTAACCATGCCCAACGCGCCTTCTCACCAGTGATTTTCGCTTCAGAAATTTTGTGTATTTTACTTGGCTCCATCTACGAGCGGCTGTTCATACAATTTCGGTAATCTGGATTCCAAAATAAATGGAACTTGTATTCTCTGCTTTGCATATTTGGGCGCATCTTTTATAAATTCACGTTTTTCAAAGATATTAACTGAAATGAATACTGGGCTTGCGGTGTGGGCTATTGATCGGCACAAAATGCTAACGATACTTCATTGAATGAAATTAGCCGGCCCTCGTGCCGTGAAGTGTGAAATATTCTTGCTACTTTTTGTAAAAAGAAGTAACGTTTATTTAAGGAAAGTTCTAACTCCAATTTACTGTAGATTGAACTGAATACCTGTTAAATGAAACAGCAAAGCTGGCATTGGGTTTGGAATAAATCAATGTCTCATTTGTAAATTAAATTGCTTGTTAGGTTATAAAAAGCATTTTTAACCAATCATATTTAGTGATTGACTGGGTGGTCCGTATGATAGTAATCTACCATCATCCTATTCCTGAAGATACACTTAGGTGTTATAAAAAAGCACTCGTTTGAAGAGTTCAGGAGTTTTTGAATAAGCCAAACATTTATATTACGTCCATTAGTGAATGAGTTTTAAATTGAACACCAAAGTAACAAAAGATTATTAACTATTTACGCACACTTGATGTTTGTCTTCTGACAGCAGTACTACAACGTCTGAGAAGAATGAGCAATAAATGACATTCGAACGCAAAGAACTCTGACATGCGATCGCGTTGGTGGTGCATGCGCTACCACGACTGATTCTCCAGTACTACCACCTAGGTTAAGTTGACGTGTTCTTTTGTAAAAACGGTGTAGGTGTTGGTGATCAGTGCGACCACGTGATGCGTATTTAAAGCGGTTCGTGACTATTCTAATTAGTCATGAGGGAACCTGAATTGCATCGATTTTTTGATTTCCATCAATTTTTGAGTTTGATTAGGTGGTTTTCGTTCACTGATTTAAATACTACAATCACTGCTATTAATACTGGCGACGTGGTACATAAAATAGCCAAGCTTCTACTTGCGTAATCATAAATCTCATTCCTGATTGCATTTTATCCACGTAGAATATCTCTCCTGATGCGGATTCACCAATTTAAAGAAAGATCCAAGCGATCATGCGCTCAGCTGTCATTGCCAAACTGCTATGACAGATACACCCGATTCTCTCTGAGTCGTTCGGCGATGTTCAATTAAAAAAACAACAGAACATAAATGTGTCTAAGGAGCCTGCATCCATGATGCGTGTGAATACTTGTCGATGGGTTAATTGGCCTTTGCAAATGAAGCTCATTTATCGTGAGGAATTCGACTTAATGCAATTAAGGCTAATACTCACGTTTGTGTGTGTGTGTGTATGAGTGTGAGCAATTTATTAACGTGACTTCACGCGACTCACAACGGATTTTGTAGCAGTGGGTAAGTCTGCTTGCAGATGTCAGCATTTAACTAGTCATGTCAATGTAGCTTGGCCGCAAACTTTACTCTTGTTTCAATTCTTAACTTTTTCTCAGTTACCGGGGATTTTTTAGTGGTTACTCAAATAGCCGCACACACCAACAAAAACAGCACTTTCAACGTCCTCAAACATTTTACAATGGAATTGCTATGTAATCTTCTATAACAGTGCTCCTAAAAGTATACTCACGAAATGTTAGGATTGTTCTTTAAGTGTCACGTCCTCATTGGCCCCTTTACGACATCAAAACTTTGTTCAGAGTGATGGAGTGTTCACTCTTTTCTGTGAAACTTCGGTTTTAAAATATCATAATTATCCAACTCCATGACGCCAAGAAACTGTTTCATTAGTCTGGCTAGGATATTTAGAAAGGGACCTGCTTAACTCACTTGGAAAGTACCAGTCGTGCCCTTTTTGGTTATTGTGCTTGCAATCAGCGTCACAGAATCGCAAATATTAAAGTATCCACATACCTACATCATATCTTGTTAATTTAATTTAATAATTAGACCAGGTTAGCTGAATATCATGCAATTATGCCAAAGGGAAGGCGATTTCATTGTCGGCTAATCCTTAAGGGATGTGACAATGAAGGTAGAACAAGTGCAATCGAGGGTGTGTTTTTTACAAAGCCTTAATTTTGCCACCTTTGATGTTGCCCAACGTTCAGCATGGACCGAGGTCCAGGTGGATCTCCTTAGTCCTCTGTTCTGATCACCGCCATTTCAAATTGACTTGAATTTTATTGATGAAATAAACTGGCTAGCTGATCTGGTCACACCTTTCATTAAAACCAACGCTAATAGTCTAAACGGAACCTGCTGCTATCCGATGAGATTGATTTTAGTTGGGAGATCAGTTCAAGCAATAAATCCTTCGTGGATTTGTAGATGTGAAGGAGAAAGTCGGTAATTTTCGAATACCAACTTTCAAGATGGCTGCACTTGTCAGGTTAGACAATGCAAATAAGTCATACTGGAGAAAAGACAGGAGGTTTGCTAAATATTTAAAAATTTGAAAAAAAAACAACCAATTAACTTGGTAATACATCTGAGCAATCACCGAAACGAATTTCGACTAAATCAATAACTAGTATCAATAAAATACGATAAAGAGTTATTTCAGACGATGACCCAATTCGAACTCTTGTATACATAAGTTGCTCACAAATGCTAAAGTATGTTTGATTTTAGCCTGATTTTAAAATAAGAGATACGCATTTCCGAAGTCAATGTTGCCAAAGCACACAAATTGGTACAAATCGTCGTTGATATGTTCACGCGAATTCGCATCATTGAGATAAGTTGTTGAAGTGTCTTCTGAAGTTTTACGTTGATCGGAGTTTTCTATGCAAGAACAATTTTCAAACGATTCGGAAGTATTCTTTGCGTAAATCATAATCAACTCCATTCAATGAGTGGAGAGAGTGTGGACTGTATGGTCTCAATCGGGCGCAGCTCAGGACTTTGACAACTGGTCTTGCAGAGATGTCGAATACTTATGCGACTCGACTTTCGGACGCCTGTCAATTACCGACTAAAGCAGCACCAACAATTTGAATTCTTTTCCAAGTTACGAATAAACTCTGATCTTTGCTTCCTCTTAAGATCTCGCCAATAGGTGACATTAGATCGTTGAATGAGATCCACTACTGTGTCTCCATCCAATGTTCGATCAAATTGTCATGAAATCGACAGCATGTCTCAATTCCGTCGTCTGTTTGGCAAAATGATTTTGGAATGAGTGCATGTTCTTGGTCTGTCAGGTGTTAATTACACGTTTTCGTCATTTCTGTGGCATGATTTTTAATCTGGAACGGAAACACATAACTTCAAATTCACAACAAACATGTCAGTCAAATCGACGCCAATTACATGTGCACACATAGGCTGCTTCGACTAATGCCAGTGAACATGGGAGCAAATATGAATTAGTTGACCGGTATTTTAGGGGAAGCGCCAGTCGCAGTGGACATAATACTTACGTAGGGCTGGAAAATGCCATATTTACGCCAAATACTTTCATATTTCACGGCCACAAGTCACGCGATTTTGCGGGGATCACTACGTTACCACTTTTTTGATGTTTGCTCCCTATTGTATGCCAAAATTACCGGCATCGTTTGCATTTAGGTCTTTGTCAGTTCAGGTTGTCGAAATTTTGGATTTCTTCTGAGTACAAACTGCCTTTGTAGTCTAGCAGTAAATTAGGTCTGAGGATGGCTGCAATAGGATTCGAATACAGCGCCTTTTTACACAACCGCACCATGGTAAAATTCATGAATCTCTATGGCGTTTTTAGGTGAGAAAAGACGTTAACCTAGTTAAACCGGCGATGTTTTTGATGACAAAGAGCTGCGCTACAACAGTAAAATAGTGACAAATATCGTCTGTTGTTTTCGACCACGTGCCAACCTGTTCGAATGATTTTCCTAAAAAAGCAAGCAGGAAAGCATGCGCAGGCTTGTCGTAACCAACAATTTCGGGTCACCATTTTCTCATTCCAGGATGCGAGCTCTGAGTTAAACTAATTGGAATCGCTGATAATTGGTCGAGTTTTAGTTTTAGCGTTGACAGGTCCAGGTGTGATAAAACCAAAATGCTCTTGTTTCCAATGTCCAGGAATATGACTACGAAGTAGTACCAACTGCATTATGGTGAAGATAACGGAAAATGATTGCACGCACCTATTTGTTGATTCATAGCCAATCATAGTCCAGTAGTTAAGACAACTAACCAATCAAATTTGCTCTAATCACACGAGTGCTTCAATGAATGTGCTGCATTCATTATCAGCATTTTTAAAAGAATGCAACGTGGAATTTAATTAGCGGTGGAAGTACAAAAGGAAGACTTACTCATCGCGCAGCTAATCTCTTGTTATTTTCAAAAAAAGGTGACCACATTTTTGAACGTCGACGTCATAAATGGCCAATGTGCAGGTTGCGAAGTGTATGCACTATACGGGTGAGCTGATTGACTTTAACCGATTATAACAAATCTTCCATGTGCTTTAAGTCGTTCCTCTCCTAAATGCAATGATTTATAATGCCTGAAATAAAACTGGTTTGCGTGCGTTAAATTCATGGTAATTAAAATATTTTGAGTGAAACTAAAATGTGGTTGGACATTAATTTTATCGCTTTTGACCTAAATTTTAGGGATTCCTACTACCCTAATTCCCGACAACAATCCATGGTAAGCTAGAAACAGTTTTGTTTTAAATCCCTTATTTTGCCACTTAAGTTTACAAACTTCGGCTTTATCTTTCTCCCTTCATCCATAACTGTGAAAGTGACATGCTGTTTGTGAACACATGTGTGGTGGCTGCAATAACAACGAAGGACACAAACGTGTTTTCGGACACTCATCGGTACCTCACTTCCTTATAGTTGCTGCTTCATGCCTGGAACCTGAGGCTAGGCGTTTTAGTTGTTCAACACTGAAGCTTTTCATGACGGGTTAGGTGTCACAACTGATTGAATTAAGGTCACTGACTATCATTTGTTGACATAAAAAATACAGCGCTCAACACTCACAAAAAGGAGAAAATGTCCACAACGAAAGTTGAAAAGTTCTTCGTTTGGTTCAGACAATCACCACTTTACTTTCTCTGCTCGTTTCAGCTCAAACCCCGACGGTGTGGGATCACAACGGTAGGCGCTAGGCACAAATTCATCCAGACACAAGATCAAATTTAAACCTTTAAAAGATATTGTTTGTTGTGATTTTAGGTTCAACATATCCTATCTTCCGGCCAATACCCCTAAGTCTCCGTTCGTTGCCTACATGCCGTTGCAAATGGCCAATGTAAGGCGACCCCATCACTCCCTTTTTGCATGCATTTCATTTTCACTTTCTGATAAGTTAAACGGCGCACTCATTAGAGTAGATTTCTCACACTCGGCACAATAGCTTTCTCATGATGTTTATGAGACAACACAGACGTCGCCGTTAGCTTTCATGGCTATTTTCAGGCGACTTGTGCTTGGGATCCTTTTTTCGTCTCAAAGAGCATGTCTGCGAGTTGAACAACTTTAAAGGGGCAGTCGAAGAGGATACAATTAAACCGATTCGAAGTTTGACCTGACGCGATGATGCTCTACTTAGAGCAGCCCGACTTCCTTCCGATAGGTTTCTCTATTGATCAACATGGCATGAAGACGAGAATTCATCAGGTTTAGCCAGGATAGCTAATCATCCCAAACGAACTTACTGTTATTTTCGTCTATTTTGTCCGTGTCGAATGCTCGAGAAGTCCTGATCAACCACCTAGCGAAGATCCGCTTAAAATTGTACAACAGTCAACATAAAGTTCCATTCAAAAAGGCTCCACGACTTCACTTATTGATGTAAACATGTTTCGACATGACGATGTGCCTCCTTCCAGATTACAAAGCTCCAGGTGTTGACTCTTCGGTTCGGCTTCTGAATACTCTCTGGCTGATTTCGTATTATACAAAACGTAGTTCAACGTTTCGGTGCTTCGCTGAATTGTTTACTGAGTTTCTTGTGCGAAATTCGATTCTGTTTAAGCTTGTTTAACCTACAGGCGATCCGGGCAGGTCAGAACACACAGGCGTCCTCCATCAAAATTCCAGCAATTCCAAGACCTCGTAAGTTCTCAAGTTTTGAATTTGAAACACAATTAAACAAGCACTAATTAGACTTGAGCCTTCTCGGTTTTGGATTTTTCCTCTTTGTGGTTGGTAATTTAGAAGCAAAGAAAACATCAGCGGGTCAAATGACGGCCTTAGGCTATAGAAAATTTTAAAAGTCGTTCTCACTTCTGATTGGCTATTATTCGGCATTCGGACAAAGTAACAACTGACTAGTTGCAGTTGCATATGTTGGATTTTGAGCTCCCTCTACAAAGAGACCTGAATTCCACTCCTATTCTCTTCTTGATTTTGTCGAAAAAAAACACATTCTCTCTGTTTACTTTTAATCTAACCCTGAAAATGCATTTTTAAAGAAAGAGACCCAAATCCTCGCTTCATCGATCAGACAGCCACTCAAGACTCCGGTAAGCGCAGCACCCTTATCGAAACCCACCGTTTTCACATTCGTCGCACGCCGTGTTGCAGTTTCATGTGATAATTTTGCACTGTGCATTCATTCATTCATGAGTGTGTGTGTGTGTGTGTGTTCTATATTTATGTGGATCGTGATGGAGCCTATCTCCTTTTTAAGAGACCAAACAAAACGAGTGTGTGACAAAGATCCTGGTGTCCAACTTCGACGGCCCTCTGACGGTTACGTGCATGGGTGAGTGCGGTTTGAAACAAAAATTTTCACTACGACCGGCGTCGACGACCCAGCCCTCACTAGCACACAGATACCGTCTCCTCAAACTGAGACAAGAAATGACCTCGTACAGGGAGCTTTGCACCGTCTCGGTCGAGCACAAGTTCAGAGAGGCCTGATTTCCAGTGGCCTCGGCGGCCTTAAGTGCAAAAAAGATAAATAACGCGGTTAAATTCGAATCTGTCAATAAGAAGGGGGCGGCCGATTTGAATACAAAAAAATGGTGTCTGTAAACATGGATTATAAAGGAAAGACGAATAATTTAGTTTTGGAGGCAACAACTTTGCATAAATATAACCATATACACATATATCAGAGTATCTGTAGTCTTATATTAAAAGATTTCTCTTGAAGAATTTTTAAGGAAAACATCTATGGTTGACCAAAATTTACACAAATTTTATCGTAAGCAGAGCAACGAACTTAAGAATTAACAATAACTATTTTCAGAATTCAAGAGCTGATCCAAATATTGCGAATTTGTAGATGTTACACCCAAGGCTCAGAACACCGGTGTACAACCATTGTCTTCGTTTCCTCCTTACTCAAACCCGATCGCTTTTCCTCAGCCATTCCATGGAGTAAGTCAAAATCGAAATAAAACTCAACTTTGCATTTACAATTAGTTTGTCCTTTCTTGCAAACGACTTTTTTACAGAATTTGTCTGCAAACTGAATCCGACAGGAAATAAAATTGTCTTCCTAGTAATGGAGAATCTGTTATCTACTCTACCATCCATCGAAGGCGGTTAGGGTCCCAGTGTGATAGAAGTCTCGGGGTGATGACCTCCAGCCGTCCATGTAGCTCTGACATTGCCCCACTTGAGTGGCCCCTTAAACGGTGATGTCCCGGAAGGCACATTGTTAGGGATTTCGCCTATAAAGGCTACAAAATTCAACGAACGGATGTGTCCTATTAGTGTGAAATCATAAATTTGCCAAATACATGGCAAAATTCATCTTGCTTCTGTACAATTTCGAGATTTTAATTTAAAGATTCCTTTTTTAGTGGGGTGAAATTTGCACTGATAAATCCTTCAAACGGTTAAACCTATTCCTCCATAAGGTCGTTAGAAATTAGGCCAAAGGAGAGAATCTGAAACTACTTAACTGATTGCTATACAATGGTATCTAAAACTAAAATTCATATGAAAAAAGTGCACACTTTCAGGACAATATGCATAAACATGGAGTTTCCTTATCTACGAATGCAACTTCACTAATTGTCGATTGTGTTAAATTAAGTACCGGGATGGATGCCTTTCCTTATAGAGCGGTGAATACTCGGCGCCGTCTTCAAGACCTTCCTTCTACGACGCCTATGAACCCAGAAGACACCAGCGATCGCACTCCAAGAGGCGAGCATCCAAACGACGTAAGACTTTTCGCGTGATGTGTTTAACAATTCCGGAGCGTTTACAATTGCATACTGTGTGCGGTTTTCATTTAGGCTCAAAAAGTCCACGGAAAGACAAGTCTCGAGAAAAAGGTAGGTGTTTTTCAAAACCTTACCACCTCCTACACCTGCAGTAAATATATGTTTTGCATGAATTTGGATCATAGAGAAATCTACCTCCATCAATTAGTGAGTCCAGACGTCAAATTGATGCAATTAACTGTCGTGAGAAGTCTGTGTAGTGACGTCATCGTGCAATTAACGACTTTGATTGGTTACACCAGCTTTGAAGTTTGTTCCCTCTACCAGTTCTACTTTTACAAAGGATCACACCGCCTCACTCCTTAAAATAATTGATGCCTGTAACGACTCTCCAGTCCCGAAATGACTGCTGTGGTTGCTGGTTTGTTCTCTACCACGCACAATGCAACAAATAAGCCCTTTGAACAATCTCAACTGACACAACAGCGGAGCAATTAGGGAGTTTGCTTTTAAATGACATCGAACGTTGATAGCAAAATTCACATTGTTGTGGAGATATTTCCTATTAAAACTGAACAGTCAGTGGACAAAGCAATTGAAATCAAGCCTTAAATGTCGGCACAGAAAATTCGCAACCTGGACTTCTAACGTTACCTTGGCATAAGTACGATTCGCAGACAACTTTTCTTCCATTGCGCTGGTAATTTGGCCGCTAAATATGTTGAATTTAGACGGATGCCTTCAAATTTGTTTAGATTAAGTTGTCTAGAGGGAAGTGAGTGAATCAGCTCTGATGGAGCCCATAAAAATCTAGCTTTGCATGTATTTGGTCTCTTGTGTAATGCGATTGCTGCGCTTACAGAGCGTATAACTGTTTAACGGAGACAAACAAGGTGTATTCAAAAATTAAGGCCTGCAATCATGTCGAGTGTATAGAGAGCTGTATCTTCCTCAACTTCTTTATCCTTAGTGCATTCGACGAATAACAGCAACAAGAAGAAGGACTCATCGCCGCCAGCACCTCCTGCTGTCTCTGCACACCCTCAACCTCCTATTCTACCACCCCAGCCTCCACAGCACCCTCGTGCTAACCCACCAGCGCCTTTCGTTCCAACTCCAGAACAACTGCTGTCGGCGCCTTTGCGACCTGTTCAACCAAAACAGCGACCTTATAGTTTGATTGGTGTCCAAACAATACCACTGAACGGTAAATTCGATAAATCTGTCGATATTCCCTAAGAGGGTCTTCTTGATGCAATTTAATGTCAGAAAATGTGGAAGTAGTAGTCTTGAGCGGTTGATTAGTTGATCCTGGCCATCAGTTGGGAAAGTTGAGAGAGTCACTGGAAGAGTTAAGTGCCTCAACACTAAGCTAGTGCATGCTTCTTCAAATACCTACTTGCGTTAACCCAAGAATCTTATTGATTTTCTTCAGTCTAATCTGGCGAATCTTGTCGAATAGGAATATCCAACTTTGTGAAAGGGTCTACAACTCGGTTCATCTACTCCTGAAACGTCTGGCACACCTTTAAAATAACATGTATTTTAAGATTATAATGACTGGTGACCCGAGTACCTTTTCCTAATGCATGGGGCTTCGTTGGATCTATCCGTAGTTATGAAAAAAGCTTGTTAACCGTGTGGTTGGACGGAAACCATTTAAAAACCTTAGGATTTGCCGACGTCAATTTTACTTATTTTGTTCTTCTAGTAAAAGTGCAAATCGTTTATGCTAATATTACTACTCGTTACATAAAGTCGATTTCAGCAGGCAAATGAGTCAACAAATTAGTTGTTATTTATGACTGTTTCCGTTACCGAGTTTGTTTAAATCAAGAATTGGAAAGACAACTTTGAATACTCTGGATTGTTAGGAATGGAAAGAGAAATAAGTAAACATCAATTACTAGGCCAAATGCTTCACACAGGCAAAGTTCGTAGGGTTGACGTGCATTTGTGTTGGGCTAATAAATTGGTCCTATTGTAAAAATGAACGGTACAAGATGGCCGACCGGGGTCAGCATATTTGACCAATAGGAAAACAGAAAGGGGAATTGTCACCAATCAGGGCCAGAGTAAAAGTTAATTGTACGGTAACAAACCAAATGATTTGCAAACATGGCTATTGACAAGTAATGATTGGCAATGCGCGCCATCACGCGGTGCTTAATGGTGGATTTTATGTGTGCTATATTAACATCTGATCAAACTGTCAACTGCTCCTTTACAGCGTAGGTGATTTTCAAATCTAGTCAATTAGTCGAAACAGAATACCAATTTGAGTAGTTACAAAGAAGCAGAATACGAATGCGCAAAACTTATCCAAAATGAATTGCTACTTTCCAGATCGGAACCAACTAAATAAACCTTCCTGCCAGTGATTGGATTCAAGAAATCTGACCTGTTGTAGGACTTGATAAGCCTAGATTGGGGGTACTACTACCATCGCCCGATTCTGCCGCTGACACTGTCGCATACTTAATTGCATTAAAACAATCAGTGTGTCTCGACTAATAAAATGCCACTCGTTGTTTAGGCGAAATCGAGAAGAAGAAGCCGGAGAGAAAAAGAAACGTGAGTCTGGATGAAAGCAGGTGGCCCTTCGAGCATGTTCCAATGGTGCCGTACTTGCCTCTCTGTCCGCACATGTGCTCACAACAAGTGAGTTTTTGCATAACCCACCTTGACACAAACTTTTTGAACACTTGCGTGCCGTCTACGTTCCGATTTGGCTGTGTGGTACTGAATTCGTTGAGGGTTAGCAAACCCTTTCCGAAGTCTGTTTGACATGCCAACTTCCCAGCTGTCATCTACCTCTCTTTTGCAAAATTTTACCTAGCGATTATGTGTGTGTGTGTGTGTGCGTTGGGTGCCAAACAAACAGGATTAGTTTACAGGGTGTGCCAGTCAAAATTTGTGTAGTTGTGGAAACGACGTGTCAAATCTTGTGATTCCTCTTTCCCTCCTCTGAATCACGTTACCAATGCATCCTTTACCTCATCCAATTAGTCGAATATGATACCTTATAAACAACTATTTAGTTTCAAAATATAAAAAAATGAAGAAAATGAGGCTAGAATGTTATTCCCGCTTCGTGGCTCTGGTGTTGTCGTTCCACAAGGATTGACTTAATTTTTTTTATTTAAGAAAAGTGTATCCCATTTAAACGTCAGATCTTGGAAAGAGCCAGCTACTGTAAAACGCTTTTGGCATATGTCAATCTGTTGTTAGATATGAAATTCTACCTTTCATGTACTCAGTACTCTCAACCTCTTAAAGCGTCAGTTGAAAACGTGTGCTCCGTGAAGTCTTGTGACCACGAAAAGACGTCATTTTAAAGTGGACTCAACGACCTGTCGAATTTGCAAATATTGTCATAATTTGTTCCTCAAAATCTCTCAAAAGTTGATTCTGGTCTTTGAGCACTTGAGTAGCATTAGCGAAAAATCGCTCTTTTCCCTTTCCAGACACGATCAATGCGCTCAGAAAAACGTCTACAGCGACTGCTAGATATGTGCGAAGGGGTAAGTCTACAATATGGCGCATAGTGTAGCCGATACTTTGCAAGTAGTTTGAAGATCCGATCCCATCTTGTCTTTTGTTTGCTTTCTATTGAAGAAAACTCCAATCAGAGTCCAGATTGTGAAGGATGGGGTGAGCTGAACTTCATTTAACAACACTTTTTCAAAGAGACATGACTTTAAATTGTAATACACTTGCGGAAAGCCACAGAAAGTTGTTCTGTTTGTGAAATATGGAATAAAACATGCTGGGTTTTTAACCAGTGCATCTCATTTTGTTGATTCAGGTTCGAATCCAGGCACATTATATTGGTGCTAAATCATCTCGCTGATAATTTGATCGAAGGCATCAGATCTGCTAGCACAAAATACGTTTGAAAGTGTTGGTTGAAGTGTGCTTTTGAGGCCACAAGATACTTGAAATGGCTTTCAGCAAAGTTCATGGCATTCTCACAACATATCAACCATTAACACAGTAACCGACACTCAAGGTGAATTAGCAATCCAATTGCATCTAGGTCTACTAGTTCTCATAAACAGTTAAATGCATATTGAGTATCACTAAAGAAATTGAGTAATTGAATACCGATTAGTCAATTAGTAGATATGTCTGTTGCTTTGCGAATCTGATTAGATCGGTTTATTTTAATAATTCATTTCTTTACTTGAATGTGAAAGGAACGACCCCATTCCCTACCGAAAACACGCCAAGCAAAGGATTGGGGAAGACGCCAACCAGTAACTTCACAAACTAATATTTTAATTTGTTGTGCTGAAATAACCCATCTTAATGCATTTCAACTAACGCTAACACCAGTTGTGATCTAAACTTTACTTCGCTTTTGTTTATTGGCCAAAATTCTGGATTACTACTTGTTAAATCGATTTTTCAACAGTGACCTCAGCGAGTTAATTAGAATACAAATGTCCCCGTCCTTATTCCACAGAAATGTAGAAAATTTCCACAAAGACATTGGAACATGTATATCGCTTGCTAAATAGGCTCTTTCAACTAGGATGAGGTAGCTGTACACCAGTAGCGATCCTCGCAAGAATTATTACGAAACGGTCCCCAACAATGCGTGTTTGTGGTTGCGCTAACAACACCATTCGGGCCTAGAACTTTGGGCTACACGAATCTGTGCAGTGCAAATGTTTTAGGTTGTGGAACCGTCGAAGCGACCAGTGGTGCCCACATTACCAGCTGCCGACGTGGCCCCACTGAAGACTCTAATTCGACCCAGTCCGCCGCCACAGCAGCCCTCCCAGTTTCAGGGTCTTTTTGGACTTAGAAAAGGTGAGTCCACTTGCTTTTTAACTATGTTGTCTGCTAACCCTCGTAGAACTTAACAACACGGAAGATGGGGAAACCGCGGCACGTGACCACGAGATCAAAACTTGCTAGGCGCGACGTCCGTCTAGTGATTGGTTGGGACATTTTCACGGCACAAAAATCATTACTTCCACTTTGAATTGTAGGAGTGTCCAATGAGAAAAACAGTTGTACTCCGTTTGAGCATTCACAGCCGATACGAGCATTTGATCTCGAATTTGACTCACCTTCGAGATCACATGGGAGTGGAGTAATCCATTTGAAGTCGAACTAAGCTCTTCTGCATGCGTGATTGGTCAGCAACACCTCGACATGGCTTCGTTATCAGGTCACTTTGTTATATTTGGGAGGCTCGTACAGAACCCTCGTCATCTCATTTACCCTCCAAGTCGATTCATAGTTGGGATCCGGTATACCGATAGAATGAGAAGAGCGTTGCGTAGGGACAGGATTTGCTACAAAGCAGTGATCAGAACACATGTTTAAGTGTTTTGTAGGCGTAGAGTTGTTTACAAAAATGAAATATGCATCATTATCAGTAATTTAAATAAATAAATAAGTATTCTAACGCTAGATTGACTGATTATTTGGCAAAATGACTGTTCCGATTTGTGATTTATTTGGAACTAGCTGTCAATCTTTCAAACACATGTTGAACAGCGTCTGTATCTGCCATAATCAAATGAATCTGATCCAATTCAAAGTCTCTAGGATACCCCACGGACGCCAACTCATCACGTCGCCCGTCAATTCTGAAGAGCAAATATCGACTTCCGCACCACTCATAGCCCAACTCACTCAGTGGGTGTAAACTCCTCGCGGTCTGTAGAAGGAAAACATCATGTGCAGATCCTATCAATTTTGACAAGAACAAAATGTCACAACTGATAGATGTCAGAGGTTGGCAAGAGGCCAAACCAAATAGTAATGAATTCAGGTGCTAATTGAGAAAAAATGAACCAACTGCGAGAAAGGGGAACAAAGCTAACGTAAACAGCGAAATCGAGTTACTAGATTCACACAAACCTTGTTGAATATGTGTACACCTGTGGGAATTTTCTTGTTCATCACAAAATCATAATTACATTGAGAAAAAATACGTCAACCACCTCAAATTAAATACCTGAGTGTCCTTAATCTTAAATATTACTATTTGCAATGTGTAGAGGTAACCAAGCAAATTACATCTGTTGAGGGCCCCAGCCTGTTGGCTTGAAACAACTTCGGAGCCACAGCGTTGACTCTAGCCCGATTGCGTTAGCCCGAGCGGCCGCGAGAATGAAGGAGACCAGAGGACGAGGCACAACCGTTCGCCAGACACCTCCACGAAGTTGTTGTTTGCGTGTTCTAGATGTAGAGCATGACTCTTGTGTTTTGCTGACTGTGCGGTTGAGTGACGAGTAAAAGTGCAGGCGTCTGGATGGTCACACGGCCAGGGAGGGGTGGCGGTGGTACACAAAGGGGGTGAATGAGCATGCGGCCCAGTGACTGACGGACACGCCCTGAAAAGTGGGACACGTACGTGAGGCTGCGACTACCGGATTATTGGGCGTGATTCAACACGATTCACTGCGCGCCCATTTGGATTGTGATGGGCCAATAAAATAAACGAGATTTTGATATTTATTTGCGTTCGTGATATACTTTAATGAATTTTTCTGATAACTCTTTGCCTACTTCCTGGAAACTTAATGATTCCACGCTCGAAGAACTTCGTGTCCCATCAGCGAAAAGCCTGTTGATTATAAATATTTTAGCTTTTAAAAAGGTATTAATCTCAAATATAGCTATGTCCGAGCTACATGAACGGCGAAAAATCGCGTCCCGAATGCTTTCTTATGTGGTGCTAAATAACTGCGAATGTCACGTTTTGCACGTAACCAAAACCACGCGTTCAGGTAAACGGTACCCCAGATCCCTCGTCTGACGCTAGACCCCACTTCCCACGCTAATGAAGACCAGGAGAACCTCGTACAGAGAGTCTTCACTGTTTCAGTCAAAGGCCGAGTCATCTGTTAGAATAAGACCACTTATATAAGTCAAGGCTGACCTTGACCTGATGGATCAAGGGGGGTGACTCACCCACTTAAGTGGTGCGGTTAGGGGAGTCGTATAAGCAATGACGAAGTCGCAACCCGCGGTGGGCCGCCTTGAGGAATGCCGTACCCCCAGCAGCGAAGCCCTGCGTTGTCTTGGCGGCATACGCTTTCCCAGCGGTTTGCCAATTATGGTAGAGTGCCACTGATTCCTTTCGAAGCCAGTTTCATTTAATTGGTACCGGTCAACATGATCAATAAAACGTGATCTTTTTAATGCGAATCAGAATCTAACGTAGTTTGTGCTGGTTATCTTAATTCAATCGTTACTTGAATGCCAAATGATAACCACGGCCCCTGTAAACGCCTTGTTATTCCACTTGACAAAATCATAGCAAGTGGTGTGCTGACACCCAACTTACGAGGATTAGTAGTGTTACTTTTTGTGTACCCATCAAGTTTCATTAACGATTTTAGGGGTGCCTGCGTCTAAAACAACACTGGAGGAAGAGCTACCGAGCTGGGTTCAAAGGAACGGTAAGTTTAATTTCCCTCATTTCTACCTTGCTGTTTACTGACGTGATTGGTACATGGTTTCATTCCGACTCACTAATTGACTACGAAGCTATTTTAAACTGGGCTCCAAGTTTCTGTGGTTACTTGGTGCTATGTACCAATTTCCCCATGACTTAGCTTTCCTCGATTCCACTTTTAAGTGTTTGGTTTCATGGTAAAAGTACTTGAATGAAATTGATGGCGATGTAAGGAGATCGCGGTGTCATTTGGAACTGTGGTATGTAAAGAGGTGCTTACTTGCTATTCTCTCTGTTGTTCTATAGGTGAGTGAAAATATAAATAACTGAGAGCCCTGATCACACCAATTTTTTCACTCATTCCGCTGCAAATTAATCGATAATTCACTGAGTGCACGTGAGCTGAGTAATTCAATTAAAAAACACACTTCCCGTTGACCAGTTAACACCAGCCTGTTGATGGAGAAGGCTTCAATCAGCCATGCTTTTCTCTTGGCAATGGGGTGACGCTTTGACACACTAGCTTCTCTTAAAGTTAGGAAAACTGGAGACATTTGATGCAATAATGAAAGATTCGAATTTATGTCTGTTGATCAATGGAGGATATTGTCTGTTTGTGTCATTTTAAGTCTAAAGCCTTCACGTAGCACACTGGTGTACCTCTGCTGTTTTTACCGTAGAATCATGTACTAACTAGCCGATGACTCGATTACAGAAGGGCTCATGAGTAGAGAGGCTATTTGTGGGAACCAATTAATACTCATCTTCAGCCAATCCTGTTCAGTGCAAAAGCTGTGAAATACAGTAAGTGTTTCCTGAGTAAGTAAAACAAGCTAAAATGACCTGCCTTATATTAAGATAACAATGATGAAGGCAGACCGTGGCGGAAGGAGGCTGCAAGGAGGACAACATCGGTTCCACCCCCAGCACCGCCTCCGCCCCCGCCCCCGCCTCCATCCACGTATTTCGGCAGCCCCGCCCAGGTGCCCGAAAAGCCCCCCGTCGAGGCTCCGCAGCCGACGCCGAAGGTCGGACCCAAACCGGTCATTCAGTGGCCCCCGCGGATTTTGACGGAGGAGAAGCCACAGCCGGAGAAGACCATGACCCCTCCCCTCATTGAATACGGCGGTAACCAGGACAGTGGCTCCAGTGTGCTCTCGCAAATGGAAGGGACTTACGAGGTGATCTTGGACTACTCCAACGAGAACAGTTTGGAGAGCGACGGTGGTGAATCGGAGAGGAACCAGCCATGGGGCAACAGGATTTACGGCTCGGGGGTGACTCAGCGCAGCCAAGCCAACCGTGGTCCTTACCACCCAGTGAGCATCAAAGCCAACTTAAAAGTTAACTCTAACAAAGTGTCTGTTTCAGCACTCGAGTTCCTGTGACAAATTTCGGCATTTACTTGCACTTTTATGCACTCAAGGATGCACTTATTATTGATGTAGGCAAATCACTTTAAAATTACTCCTCTCATCACTAACAAGTAATATATTTAGCTAAAAGGGATTTTAATTTTGAATTGACATACAAACAGCATGGTTATTTGTCTTAACTTAAATACGTGCGAATCATGGTTTCAATAAAACGGACCAATCAGATTAAGATTATAATCGGTCATTCATGTAAACCTACATTAGCTTTCGTCCAATAAGTAGTGTTTTGATATTTACAAAAATTCACTGAAGTTATTAAAATTCTGCCAAGTAAAACGTCGTGGGTTTTTTCAGAGCAGAAATTAGTAAATGTAAGACGGTGGAATTCCATACTAAAACCATGTTTGATTTTATTTGAATCATTGAATTTATGCAAGGCGGGTTGTTTAAAGTGTCTTGATCAACTTATTACCTCCTCTCCACCAGATGTGCTTCATTTTTAAGCAGTGTCTCACGGGGTTTTATAAAGTTTGCAGTCTTTTCAACATTCATAATTTCGTGCGCTCGGTGATCACAAAAACAGACACGAGTGTGCACCGATATTCGTCAATGCAATTAATGCGAAACATAGCGAAATGTAATTTATTAGCAAAAATAATGAGCATAAACTGACAACATTAGCTACAAGACTTTTGACATGAAAAACATCACACAAATGGGCTGGTTTCGTTTTCGATCTGGACTGTTTCCTGCCTTCACATAAACCTGTAAATTTAACGAGCCATGTTAAAATCACCCAACTTACTCATTCAAATCCATTGGGAAATAGCAGAGTGGTGGTTGATTTTTGAATCCATACTCGGTGTCGACACCTCCATTTCATTTGCGAAAGAAAGCGTCCACTCCCTTAAAGCGCCCTGGACTACTACATTTGCGAGTAAACGGGTTGCACCACGTGCTGAACAGTTAGTGAGCCTTTTTTAACTTTCAGGAGATTCGCGGCGGCCACCCGCGTGGACCCAGCTCGGGGACCTACCAGAACCTCGAGGGCAACTTTCAGCCTAAGGTGGGGCTGGGCGACGTTTGCTCGTCACCACTCTGTGTCACGCCGGTCTCTCGCTCACCTCTTTTTCACGCTTAGCCCCAATCCAGGCTGGGTGACAGGGTTTAGGTTGCACATCGACTCAGCGAGTTTTAATTCAAGGTCATCGCCATTGATGCGTTGAACCCCAATCATCTGGTGTGATGGCCAAGCGGAACGCTTTTGGGCGTGGAACTTGATAGTTTAAGGGTGTGATTAATGAGCATCACCGCTGGCAGTAGTCGATTTAGGATTGAGAAGGCGATGGGTGCGTGTAGAGGCTCATTTATTCCTTCTGCTGTTTTAGTCAGTGCTGCGACAATCATCAGTGCCTTTGAACAATGCTGACAGTAAGTTTAGTGAAGGAGGTTACGAGACGAGGACCGATTTTATACATACTCAGACCCCAGTATTAAGTGTACCCATTAGCAATTAACTGAATGGTAATTTAATATAAAACATGGTGATTTTGCTATTTGACGAAGAATCAACACCAGGATACCCACGCTTGATCTGACGGGGACTTTTGATTGGCTGAATTGGGGGCTAGTCTCAAGCAATCCATTTCAAAATTCGCGTCCAGCACTGCATTATTAAGAAGCAGCATTACTGTCCATCGGACGAGGTATGAAGATTTGCTCTGCGGATTTCCCACAAGGCTCAGTTTTAAGTCAAACCCTGCCTAGAACCATCTGAAGTGCACTTTTGAGGAGGTCAGAAAAAGATCTGATTGTTCAAACTACGCCTGGCACCATAACAGCCACATTGTGGACGGATTGATTTGCTGTCGAATCCCAAAGAACCGAAGGAATTTTGAAGATAATTCGGCAAAAACTTGATGTGTTGAACTTGACAATGATTCAAGCCGTCCAAGATGCAGTTCTCGCAAAACCAATAGGAAATCGAGGATTTAAGGAAGCGGACGTGGCGAAATGGTGTGTTTTCTGACTTACTTCGCATTGGACTACCACCAATTCACTTCTAAAACCGGACTCATTGACATTCTCGTTGCAAAATTATCTCCATTTTTTTCAGGAGGTGATGTGACAGCCTGACGGTTTGTCAGTAGTGATGGCGATCATTTTGTTGGCGAACTGCTGCACTTGGCCTTGCCCCACCGTTTTGAAACAACAACACCCACGGGTACACTTAATACATGTCTGAAACCTAGAAGTTTGTTTCAGGGGAGTACAGTACAGAAAACGACAGCAGCCAGGATCTATCTATCTAGCAAAGCCGAGTTCTTGTGGAATTTTGTCAACTTGTTCAGTATTCACCAGATTCGATGGGTTGTGTAGTCGCTATGTTTGCCTTTATTAGACTAACTACTTACAACGTTAAATTAGTGCGATTTGCTAGACTGCAAACCCACAGCACGAGGTTGAACATCGTTTGAAAGTGCAAAATCATTTGTTCTAAAATCTTTCGCTAAAACGTGTAAAATACTTGTGCTTTTTCTCCTGTCAACAGATTATCTTCAAAGTAAGAAGGGACGACCACTTGTGAGGCTCACAGCTCCAAAGGCGCACTGAACGACAGGAACCTTTCCGACAAAAATTAGGAGCTACAGACTGTTCAGAATCTAGCCTTTTTTTTTCTTAAAAACTCAGCGTCTCTGATGTATTTCGCTTCGTGTTTCCTCTTTACTATCCAAGGTAATGATGTCCTAATATTAATGGCGTCAAAATCTTGCTCCAGTTGCTGGCTCAGACTGTTTTTTCGCCTAAACCAAATGTGCGTATCCTTGAGAACACCATTATAGTAATATCTTGAGCGATTACTGAAATTAAGACAGCATCAGTTTCAAGATGTGTAATCCTGGAAGTCTTTGGCTATTAATTAACTAGACGACGAGGCGTGCAACTTGACGATGGAATTAAACTGCAAAAGTGCCTCTATGTGCACTATTAGTGGCAGTGTTGACTTTGATTCTCTTGTTCAGTAGAATTGCCGTTTTCAGAAGTAATTTTTGAGATTAAATAAGTGTGGAACATAAGGATTACTAGACCGCTGACAGCGCCTCCTTCTGAACCACGTCTAAAGTGCAATGAAACTGATCCTTGGGAGGTTTAAACTCCAACCGTCACGTGGTGGCTTTCGGTGTTTTTCGTAATTTGCCTCGCGAATGCAGCATATCGACATGCGTAATCGATGCAACTTTGGTGCTATTCGTGATTAAGCTTGGCACCTCATTTCTTATTACCAACACATGCAGGTGAGATCGAATGACAAGACTACAGGCAGAGAATAGAAAGCTCAAATACTTGACCGTGCGGAGGGAGTTAGCAATGCTGCGATTACCACTCTTTTAAGATGATCTACTTTAGCAAGCACACGCTTGATCACTGTCATGACTTTCGAGTCAACCTGACAACTACCATATATGATTTTGACTTGAGGTTCCTCCGTTTAGTTAACAATGCCGGGGTAAAATAAATACCCCAGGCTTCGAGGCAATAAAGTCATCGACGATTCCACGCATGTCTTCCAGCGTTTTGAACTATTTGTCCACTAAGGCGCAATGCATTGACCGGAACAAATGGTAGTCGCGTGGGGCCAAGTCTGTGGAAGAACTTCCCATCCCAGCTTCAAGAGGGTCTTCTGAGTCGTGCGAGCAGCGTGAGGTCGAGCGTTGTCAAGCAGCAGTTTGTTAAATTTTTGGCTGCAGCGGTCCTCAATCACACTGTCTGACCAGCTTCCGGGAGTTCGCAATTAAATACACCCTTCATGTCTCACCAGATACATAAGAGAACCTACTTCAAGTTGATGTCCTGTTTCGGCGTACATGTACTGGGTTGTGCGGGATTTACCCACGACATTTTACGTTTGCCATTTTCTCAAAAATATACTTTTCATCACCCGTCACAATTTTTCACAAGAAGTTCTTTTTGTTGCCGGCGGGCAAGCAATGATGGGCATGTGTTCATACGTTTACCTATGTTGTGTTCAGTCAATTCATGTGGGACCCAACTTTCAAGTTTTTGGAGCAAACGTTTGAAAATAGCTGGTTGGGTGACTTCTGACTGTGGCGTAAGCTCTTTGTGCGTGTTCGCTTGGTAGAACTTGCAGGTCCGCATCGTAGACCGTTCGAGGATGCTGTCGGACGCGGCTGGTCACCAAGATCGATATCGCATACAATGCCGTGCCGTCGAATGTGGTGTTTATCAGTTGCCATCGTAAATTCTGCTATTTTGGGAGGTCATGAAACTCACGTAGACTTGTCGTTCAGTGTTCTGAAAACTTGCGCCCGATTCTTTTAATGCCACAACACACCGTAAGAACATTTCCATTTTTTTAAATGCAAAAATTAACTCATGCACCTAATATTTCATTCAATGCTTTTTTCAACAAGGTTTGAGACTGGGGCACTTAAGAACGAGCTGAACCACAAGCAAACATTATTGTACATACATAACTTTGCGAGAATACGTTTAGCCATTTCAAGGAATTGACTGGCTTAATTTGTTTCTTTTATACATTTGAAAGCTTTGGGGAGTCGCTACTAAAAATAACTCAAAAGAATCATTTTAAATAAAATTATGCCAATCATCTATCACACTGACACTCAGCATTTTAAATGACATTCATTAAAAAAGCCTTGCTTCTTGTTTGAACTGGTTTTGTTTTCCAAGTAGGCTTCGTTAGCTTTGTAAAAATATTTGGGGTTATACATTTAATCTTGCACTCAATTATTTGGTTCAATGTTTAGTCGCCTTTTTGGGGTTAAGCTAGCACCTGAAGGATTAGGGGTAATTTTAGCATCGAGGGAAAAGGAGGTATGGTCTACGAATTTTACCCTGTTTCAGTGAAAACACAAAAGCTCCCAACGAAGTTGATGATGGTGATGATGAAATCAAGGCCACTAGTGAATCGGATCGTAGGCATAGATCTGCAGAGGGGTTTGTTAATGCACTACACACGTACCATGTGGAAATCACGTGCAATGTTTTGCATTAATTACATAGCACTATTTGGAAGAAATTCACTCAACACAACCAATCAATATTTGAGATTCGCGCTTCAAACACGATCAAGTTCCTTAACACATTAGCCCTGGTGGTAGGACATACGTCGCCTAAATTGTGATTGGCTGAAAGTGATCAAAGTGCATGTTCGTGAGGGACCAGCAAGAAGCACGTGATTTTGTTTGGCTCAACAATTAATGTCAGTGGATTACAAAAAAATCAGCAAAATACTCTGAGAATTCGCGAATCGGAACTTGCCTGAAAAATGATGCATCGCATCCTTCATTAAGTGCTGACCCTATCAAATTAGCCAATGAACTTGTTACGACTTTCCTTTACTAACGCCAGAATGGCACTGTAAATATAGCGAATGTCCGAACGAATGGAACCGTGTAAAAACTAACCACATCGTGTTGCATAGGCATGTGCACGAATGAATGCTATTGAAGCTCGGGTGTGAATAACTGAGAGCCCAGTGAGTATTTTGACTGTCGGTGAAGATCACAGAGATCGACGCATGGAGGTCAAGGTCACGTGTGCATTGAGATAGGCCAAGCATCACCACAGCCCTCCCCTTAAACAAAGGAATGCCTGTGCAGTTTCAGACGATTGGGTTCCATTTTGATGGCGAGTTGTCGTTGAAGACATGAACTTCAAAGGTTTGGTCGCAAATATGGTGGGACAAGGTAATAGACGATCACCCCGAGATGATCGAGACAAATGATCGAGGTTGGGAGGTAGACAGGTTTCCTGGAAAGGGGGTTTTAGTGCGAGTTCAGGGCTAATTGAAAGTTGGTTTTTGCATCAGATGCCACCCAAGTCGTCTTGATGGGCTTCAGAGCCCTAGCTTGGGGATGTGTGACTGTCCTTGGCACGTCACCAGTTTGTCGTGGCGTGGAGCTGCAACCAGAACTACCTTATGGCAAGTATGGATTCCAGAGTCGATCAAGTTAACTCATTTTCTTAATTTATAGTTAAAATAATTATTGTTAAGGGGTTCGCAAGAATAAACCACCATAAATAGGCAAAACTTACGCCAATTCAATCAGTAAAGGTTCAGACTAACACCGGATTCGTTGAATTACTAAAAGTGGTTGGGATTTGCCTTCATCGGCAATGCGTGGTTCAGGTCTTTATCCGAAATTCCTGTCACAGCACGCGCATTTGGAGAAGCTGAGGAGACATAGAAGCAGAATTTTTGTTATTAATCTACAATTAACTAAGTGGCGCTTTCTCTAGCAATATATAGCTCAAAGCAGGCACAAAAATGAATTGCAAGGGACCAATAAAAATTGAATTCTATGCCCGAAGCAAAGCTCTCTTGAGTTTTCTGATAATCTTAAGCAAGTGAACCCGGATAAATTGGAGTTCTGAGGTAGTTGAAACCAGCACTTGAGTCAAGCTTTCTCAGCAAAATGCCACAGCAGAGAAATATGCTGAAAAAGCATCCCTGGTTAGATTGTAAACTGCTTAAATTTCGACTTAACACGTGACAAAACATCGCACCGTAGAATCGGCATTCACGGATCCAGATTCGCCTGCCAGTGAAATTCGCTGTGGTTTCGAAATAAACCAGGGCCGTTGCTTTGTATTGGCCTAACTAGGCCACACTGATACCCGAGAAGATTGCGAAAAGCTGAGATGGCGGAGCCTTGAACATGTATTAGGCGGCTCAACCTAGTTGTGGTATTGTGTCTGTACTCAAAATCGTGTACGACTAATGAAGTTGCTGGCCAACACAGTTTGAGTGAAATGTGTAACGGGGAAGTGCATTTACAGACGGCCCCACACGACTGGCGTCAGCGCTTTGAAAAGCGGAGCAATGTGTTCGATCAACCGGCGACAGGGTTGGTGGTAGTTAATCCACGTGCTTCACTACACAGTATTGTTGGGTGACATAAATAATAAACAATTTATAGATGTTTTATCGACCGACACCAGGATTCATTGATGAATTGCACATACGACATTGTGCTAGCTTTGCCAGAGTAAAAATTAATTTTTTGGGCTCCTAATAATCATGCTCTGGTAGCGGATATCGTATTAAGCAAATCTTCAACCATGAAGCTTGTTAATTCCTCAATAAATCGACTATCTACTTCCTGTTATCTCACGATACCACAGGAAATCTTAGCAAGTTCCCACTCTAATCAGCTGGTAATACTTCATAGCTTCCTTAATTCAATCGTTAAATCGATTCGTCGAAGTTCTTGTGGTGTTGCTGTGCAGGAAAACAGCGGTCAGGAATAACGCGTGCGTAAAGTAACTGTATATCTTGGTGACACACTAGGTGGATTTGGGAGGGGGATAATCTGTACACGGGAGACGTCACTTAGAGGTCCGCCGTTCCCGATGGGCATTTCGTCGCTCCGCGGCCAGCGAGGAAAGCTCAGGGTTGAAGGCGGAGTTGAATGGAAGCTGCCTCTCGTCCAGTATGGGAGTTTCTACGGCTTCTACGGATGAAGCCGACAGCCCCATTGACCTGCAGAGAAGAACCGCGGCTCTTTCCCTTTCTGACCTCTCCCGTGAAAGCCGGTCTGCGCGCAGCTTTTCTAGCCTTTTTCGCTTTTCAGATTTAGATTCGGCTTCGTATTTTTCGATGGCAGCGTGTGGTCGCTTCAGCTAAAAGGGACGGAATGGGAGCAAATGAATGAGAACGCCGACCCGCATAAAAGAGCCTACAAACAAAGCCGACGCAATACCAATGTGAGTTGATAGGTCTACACCAAAATGCAAGTTGAGGAAACGGTGTCGAATAATAAGCAGAGAAGCAATAGTCAACATTAACCACATGAATAGGTTGCGGGTTCAAACTTCAACGGAGATGTACAGCTTAAACAGGAATTACAAACACAAACACATGGTGCAAAACATCGAAACATGTGGCAATTTTGTTTAATAAATCAGAAGTTTTTTAAATTTCCAAAGAGGTTATAAAACAGAAGAGATGGGCGAATATCATGAAGCTCAGAGACTTAGAAAAAGAGACCTGAGGGAGAAGTATGCTCGAAGACGGCTATAAGACAAAAGTGGAAGTAACTTTATTAAATTTGGTACTCAAAAGGTCCTAAAATGTTCCAAATGTGGCGTGAATCTAGCTTGGACGAAGCATACATGGCTGCAGAAGTCTAATGAATAACCAAACAAAACAAAACGCATTAATAAATAAAAGGAAGCATTTGCAACATACGCCTGGTGCTTTTATGTCGTTTGGAAAAAGCGAAGAACATGAAGACACCATTTGAGCAGCGGCAGCACGTTCTTTGGCTTCTTTAGCTTGTTTCGCCTCACGAATTCGCGCAAATTCCTCCTCGACCTTTCTCATATGGAACAATGGATCGGATTTTTGCTTCCGCTTTACGTCCACCTCATCCAACCTGGCAGACTCTGTGTGATAAAGCTAAAACATACATCAAGTTGCATTTGTTTCCCTCAATCTTCTTCCCACGGTCGGGGGCAACAAACCACCAAGGCTTCACAGCTGGCGTTCCATCGACAGACTCGCTCAAATACTTGAGAATCCCAAGCTTCTTTTCATGCGTCTCCTTTTCGTTTCTTTTTTCTTCCTCATATTCCTTATTGGTTGCAAACAGGGTACGCTGAAGGCGGTAGTTATTGCAGACCTGACTAATAAGCATACATTTTCCTCGACATCCGCAAACAGACGGAGAGTTTCTTGTGTACTAATAGTAGTGGTATGCGAGGATCCTTCAGGGTGGGATTTTCGTCTGAGATAATCCACTCGCGCCTCTTGGGTCTACATGATAATGCAAAAGCTAATGCACATTACAGCAATTAAACTTCGGATGGAGTCATCCTTTTGCTTTTTCCGGAAACGC